CAGCCACCATGTCTTGGACATGGTATGGACTTCATTTCCCAGAATTCCCCAGCCACCATGTCTTGGGTTGAGACATCTTCAAGTTGCCATGGCTGAGAAACACTACACAGGAGCATTATTATTTTTTAAATCTTCTGTTGTGAACCCTGAGAAGATGGCCTATTTATGATTCTGCCCAACCAGGTCAGTAACATCTAGCTGACTTTGCCTGACCTCAAAAGCTAAAAAGGATGGATTTGGTTAGTATCCGGAAGGGAGACCACCCAGGAAATCTCAGGATAAAAAGCCTGATTTAGAAGTTAAAAAAAAACAACTGGGAAAAGACAATAGGAAATTACTTCTATAGAAAAAAACAACGGCATACCTATTTCATGAAATCACCAAGATCCGTGCAACCATTTTAAAGATCCACCCAAGTGTCTAAAATTGTGGGTCATCCCAGTTTGATAGCAGTGAGCTTCATAATTTAAATTTACATTTCCTGAAGAAGTCCTTCCTTTTTCCCTCCTAAATTTTCCTTCCCAGGTACCATCTGGGTAACTATCTCGGCTGGAAACACAGAAGTACTAGATTCCTGCATTTGGCAGGAGATTGGACTAGATCTGTGATGGCGAACTTATGGCACGCATGCCACAAATGGCACGCAGAGCCATTTGTAGGGCATGTGAGCCCCAGCCAAAGTTACCTGTACTGCGCATGCACACCTCCCAGCGGATTTTTGGCCTGTTTGAGGCCTTTTTCTCCCTCCCAGGGCTCGAGGGAAGCCACTGCAGCCTTTGGAAATACCAGAAGTGCCAAAACGGGCCCATTTTTCAGCCTCCAAAGGCTGCAGAGACTTCCCTTGAGCCCCCAGGAGGGCAAAAACAGCCTCAAACAGGCCAAAAATCAATTGGGAGATGCGGGCATGCTCAGTGCAGGTAAGGAGGGGTTGCATGTGCATGCACAGGGGGGGACAGAGCGCACTGCATTGTGTGTGCTGGCACACACATGCGCGTGCTATCGGCACACCCCAACAAAAAGGTTTCGCCATCACTGGACTAGATCACCTTCAAGTTCCCTTCCCACCTCTGCATTCTACCTTTCTTGGAGTCACAAATAACTCTGAGCTTGATTCCCCCTCTGTTTCCATATCCGGCATGATTCAATAAACTACAGCTAGTCCTCAATTTATGATTGCAACAGAGCCTGCTTATCACCCGTCATAAGTCGAGGACTATCTGCAGGCATGATAATGTTATTTCTTCCACGCTTTTCCCCAGACTAATCTCTCTGCCTTTCCATGGAGGAGACCCACTTAATCTTCTTAATCTTCTTAAGGCCCCTCTTGCATTTGTTCTGCTAATTTCCCCACTTACAGGTTCAATGTCATTTTCAAAATCCTCATCTTCTGCACCAATGATGGACATAGCCGCGCCCCCTTGAGCTCCCAGGGCTGAACTCTGGAGGGGGGGAAAAACACCACATCCCCAAGGTCATTTGAGGGGGGGGGTTCACCCCCAGCCCACGCCCCACTATCTGTCTGTCCATCTAACTACCTACTTGCAATCTATCTGTTTCTCTGTCATCTGTCATTTATCTATCTGACTGACTGCCTACCTACCTTCCTACCTGTTTGTCATCTACCTGTCATCTATCTATCTGTCTGTCATCCATCCATCTACCAGTATCTACCTACCTACCTATCTACCTATCATCTAGCTAGCTAGCTAGCTAGCTATCATCCATCCCCATCTATCTATCTATCTATCTATCTATCTATCTATCTATCTATCTATCTATC